ACACTGGAATTGAAGGGGACAGTAAATAAAAAGGGAAATGTTAACAGGTTTCATGATTACCTTCCCCAGTGATGAAAATATAATAAGTGTTATCATTGCAAGCAGTAAACCTATTTATTCTTGTGGAGCTCTTTTCTTGACTGTGTGTTTTATGATACCTATTTCTGTCATACTCCAGAAGTTTGTCTTTGTGCTGCAAAGCTTCCTCCAAGCCAGCCTTCATCTTGGCTTTTTGGTATGGGAGATAATCTCTTTCCCCACAGTCTGTCACCACAATAAAAACAAATTCATAGCATCAACCAACATCATTATTTTATATTTTTCTGTACTGAATAATTCTGACTAGTTTAGACCATCACCTCCCATAAGTTTCTTCCTTAGTTTCTGGCTTTTGTTGGAGTCTCGTTGCAGGATCTCCTGCTCCTCTTTAGTACAAACCTGAATCAGAAAAAAAAAAACTGAGTAAACACTAAACTAGAAAAGAAGTCAGGAATATCACCAACACATGCAGAGTGAAATAAAAACGGAATCTAAGGGTTCAAAATACATACCAGGCTTCCACAGAAGAGGCAGGGTCCTGAGCCCTCTTGCTCACACATGATGCGACCGCAGCTGATGCAGTTGTTGATAAGTTTGTGCTTCTGGGCAAGGCACTCACAGGCATGTCGGCCTGGCAGTAAGACAGCCAGCCTGTCCTGTCCCTCTTTAGCATGAAGTCTGAGAAACTTATTTTTCTTCTTTGTTGAAGAAGTACTACCTTTTTCTTGAGCCTGAGAAAAAAATACACAAAAAGCAGAAAAACAGAAGAAAGAATAAAATGGATGAGGTGAGCAAGTTAGCACAACAATAAAAATGATATGGACCACCTACAAATGAACTTAATGTATTGTGCCCTTACTGTAACCAAACCATGATATTACATTCATAGGAGAACAAATATTTAGGCCGACATGTACTCACCCTGATCAGATCAATGGGGGTTTTGACTGCCTCTGGCTCAGGTTCCATTTGGCTCATAGTCATCGCCTCTTGTTTATTACGGCCCTTGCGTTTAGACTTTTTCTGGGTGTCTTTGGTCAGGTCTTGTGATTGTAAGAAAAAAGAATAAAATGCCTTAAACAGTTATTGTGGATAGAACATCTGAGAGAATTCTGATAAGTCAGTTAATCATATTTAACTTCAAAGAACATTTAATCAGAGGGAGTTTAGATACAATGAGTGGCCACTTTAATAGTCACACCTGTACAATTGCATGCAATTCGATGCAACACTTTCGCCTTAACATCTGTATTTATGAAGCTCAAAATATTTCAGTTTGTGGTGAAACTGTCATAGAGGTGCAAATTCAATTATATGTTTATTATTGAGGTCATATTTAAGGGTGGTCTGGTACTGGACTACATTATATTTAGAGGTGTTCCTAATAATCTGACCCTCTCATGTATGTAGCTGGGAAGGACAAAAATATAGACACATTGAAATGTATACAACTGTAAGAGTGTGACTATTAAAGTGGCTGCTCAGTGTATATTTACAGTGTTTAGTCATGCCCAAATACTTTGCATAGTAGTTTTACTGCTGTTTTTTAAGAGCTGGAAAGAATTGTATGTACATTCTAAATCAAATGACATCAGGCATTCATTTGCCTACCTGCCGACGGAACAGATTCTGTGAGAAGGAAAAGACCTGTAGTATCTGTGGCCTGTCTTTGACTCATCTTCCATTTGCTGAGGAGCTCATCTATAAACTGCCTTTTTCTTCCATCTGTGCCCTGCAGGAGGTCTCCCACATACTCCTCAATCTCCTCAGCTTTTTCAATAGAGAGAATGTATCTAGACAACAAGATGACAAAGAAGTCATTTCATTTAATTACATTTCCTATCAAAGTGGACTGAAAATCTTCACTTTGCTTTGTCACTTGTTTTGTTCTCAGTTCTTTTTTTTTTATCTATGCAGTTTCCATCAATGCTTATTGGCCATTAACTCAGTAATATTCAAGAACTGATTTGCTAAGTGTATATTACTTTCTATGGATTATACCAAACTATTTAGGATACTTCAATAAGGTTGATATGTAGGGAATTTTAGAAAAAGCAGTTACCTGTACAGTCATGGGCAAAAGTATTGGCATCCCAACATTTTTTTCAAATAATGCACAACTTCTCTGAGAAAACTGTTGCAATCACAAATTCTTTGGTATTCTCATGTTTATTTCTTTTGTTTGCATTGGAACAACACAAGCTGAGAAAAAAAGCCAAATCTGATACATTCCAAACACAACTCCAAAAATGGACTGGACAGAATTACTGACACCTCAAGTTAATATTTGGTAGCACACCCTTCTAGTAGCGAAGACCCACGACCTCTGATGGAGTTGCAACTTTCTGACCTGAGTTTCTTACACTTCGCTACTAGATTTTTGGGCCACTCTTCTTTTGCCAACTGCTCCAGGTCTCTCAGATTTGAAGGGTTCCTTCTCCCACCTGCTGTTCTGAGATCTCTCAACAGGTGCTCTATGGGATTTAGACCTGGACTCATTGCTGGCCACTTCAGAACTCTGAGACCATTTCTGGTGCTTTGGGTCATTGTCCTGATACATTCCAAACACAACTCCAAAAATGGACTGGACAGAATTACTGACACCTCAAGTTAATATTTGGTAGCACACCCTTCTAGTAGCGAAGACCCACGACCTCTGATGGAGTTGCAACTTTCTGACACTGGACTCTACATTCTGCCCTAGAATTCGTTGGTAGTCTTCAGATTTCATAATGCCATACACACAGTCAAGACATCCAGTGCCTGAAGCAGCAAAGCAACCCCAGAACATCAGTGAACCTCCTCCATGTTTTATTGTAGGGACTGTTCTTTTCTTTGAACGCTTCATTTTGTTTTATGAAAACAGTAAGTGAAAACAATGATGTGCTCGACCAAAAAGCTCCATTTTAGTCTCATCTGTCCACAAGACATTCTCTCAGAAGGACTGTCACTTCCTCAGGTAGGTTTTGGCAAACTCCAATCAGGTGTACATGGGTTGTAAACATCTTGACGATGTTGTGCACAGTGGACACAGGAACAGCCAGATCTCTGGAGATGGACTTGTAGCCTTGAGATTGTCCAGGCTTTTCCACTATTGTGGTTCTCAAATCCTCAGACAATTCTTTGCTCTTCTTTCTTTTTTCCATGAAATGTTGTCTACTTTTAACCATTTTAACTGGCTGCAAGTGTAATGTATCTATTGCCAGCACCTGTTCATTGCTACAGGTGAGTTTCATTACAAATTTAAGGAGCATCACATGCTTGAAACAACTATTTCTGATGATTTTGAAAAGGTGTCAGTAATTCTGTCCAGTCCATTTTGGAGTTCTGTACATTATCTACAATACCACCAAGCACTAATAAGCTAAAAACAAGAAAGCTGTATGGACATGTCATATTTTGAGAAGCATTATTAAAGGGTTTGTTAAATTAAATATTTCAATGAATAAGTGATGGGTTTTTCAACTTCTGTAAGCTTGTTAGTTACATTTGTAATCTGTAATACTCTCTGTACGTTTTTTTTGGGAGGGGGGGATGTTACTGTGGTTCTAATAAAGGTTTCGGGGGGAAGCACTAACAAGCTAGCTTTTTAATCGGTAGCTTGTTGGCAGACGGTCTGTCAGATTTAACTTGCGTGCAAATTTCTTACTTGACGATGTCTTCACATGCCTCCAAGCCAAACTTGTAATGTAACTGGTCCACACACCACTGCAACAAAGCATCCGACATTTCACTAACAACACAAGCCAAGTTCAAGACAAAAACACTGTTGTCGTGTCAATGGCCAAACTCGTTCGGTAATGGGAGCGTGTTTCTAGTCGGCGGAATAACAATGACGCACAGACGATGGTAGCACAGAATCCTACTCTGAAGAAAACGTAAGCTGTTGGCTAAAGTTCCTATCGACTTTCAAGCGCTCAATGAAACAAACTTGTTCTTCTATTTATTCTTATTTTAGGTTTTTACGGCAGCCGGCATCCTTAACGTTGAATTAGTGCGTCCTAATGGATTTAATCGTTCTCACCGTCTTTACAGCTGTATAAAAATTAGTCCAGGTTCACTCATAAAACTGATTTTCTACTTTCAGTCCCTTACACTGTTGGTCACGTTTTGGCTTCTTATTGCCGTGTTAACATTAACTGCGCGATTCATTACTTCTGTAGGATTTCTGCATGCTCCACTGTCTCTTGAAGTTTATGTCCAGCTTTTCTGTCTAGGCCAATTATTGTTAGGCCACTTGTTCTTGTTAATTTCATATAGACTACCCCAACTTTACCTACTTTATTTTGGATTCAGATATCGGTCTACTGTTGTGTTATCTCAGTAGCTGTCATTGTTTTTTCCCTGATTATGAAAGTCTAGTAGCCTGTTTTTGTGTATGTTCAGTTTTGTCACTAGGAGGTGGTTTTGTACTGCAGTGAAATATGCATTAACTAGGATTTAGCATAAATTCAGCTTTAGGTTATTTACCACTCCACTGAGATAATATCCTCTACATGGGAAGTCAGTAAGCTATACCTTACTTATATAATCATTGACACTACACAATGTTGCCTTATTGAATGTACATGCAATATTTTTCTGTTAACTGAATATTTCAATGCGTTATTGTGATCTCATCACTATGGCATCCATTCTTTTTAGCCAGTTGTTCTTAAAATCTGTTCAAATATAGAGCATATACTTGTGCCACGGTTTCTACTGCTGATAAATAGCGAGGTCCAATGGTGGAATAACTAGTTGAAATGCACAAAAAGGTTGAGCTTAAATATAAATTGAGTATGCATGTATTGGTATACAAAACAGTTATGTTCAGCAAGAACATGGTGATATGCGGTATATATATGTAGGTAAACATGCATATATATGTTGCCTACCATGTTTTACTGGACAAGAACATAATCTAAATAAACTGAAATTAACTGACATATCAAAAAGACATATTTTGAAGTCACTGTAATTCTTTAATTATCGCAAAATGTTATAGTAAAAACAAGTAGGAAACAATAAGACTAAGTAAGAACCTTGTTAAATTGAGGTGTTTGGTTGCTTATTACAATAATCAACAATAATTCGTACTTATGCAAAGTAATATATAACATCACATAACTTATGTGTATATATGAGTATTCATGTGAGACAACATATACATTTCAATAAGAGATAATGTAGTTGTTTTGTTCTGTATATGGAATTGTTTTAGTGCGGACTTTCTAGATACATGGTCATGAACAATAATACACAAGTAACATCACATAACAAATCACAGTTGCATACTTTGTAGGTTAGCAATTACACCACTTAACACTATTAGTCATTTTAAAATAGTACAAGAAGAACAAAAGTAGATGCAGTCTTTTAGTATGCCATTAGGCTACAGTATGTGATATAAAAGGCAAAAGTTGGTAATTTTCACCACCACAGTGTAAGCCATAAATTCAACTATTCACACATTATAATTTATTTTTTTGTCTGAATAAAGTGCCCGAAGTCCTAAGTTTGACTTTGCTTTAAGTAGTTAAATACTTGGTGATATACGAGTCCTACACTAGCAGAACTAACCCTATCCAAATTACGGACCCATGACTGCTTGCTCTGTGATAAGAATGACTGACTTATTTTTGTTAAAGCATTTATTTCCTGATTAATTTCTCAAGTGAAAAAGTCTTTGGAAATGGCCTCTACAAAGTTGGGTGCTGACATGAGAATCCCAATGGTGCAGAGGATAGTGAAAAGCGAGAAAGTCATGAGACAAAGCCTGTCAATAACAGACGCTGCAAATTTCCACTCGTTGCACACTAACTCATCCTCATCTTGGTCACGGAAGCGTTTGGCAATATAACGGACCTCATCCAGGATTTTGGTTAGTTCTGGTTCCACACTGCTCACTGAGGAGCTCTGACCTGTGGGGAGGAGCATTTCATCCTCACCTGCTCGTCCAACCAGCCGGCCACAGAGGACCCCAGAGTCAGGTGAGATGGCAGCTGTAGAATAGTGAATACTCTCTAGCCCACGTATGCCAACATAGAGCAGGTTGCCATTGGTGGATTGGAAGGCTGAGGCGCTAGTACTGAGGTCCATGCTGGTCAGGCTGCTCCGTGGAGCTTTGCTGTGACAGGCTGAATGCACTCGCTCCTCACCTGGACGTTTCATGCGCAGGAACCAGGCACACCAGTTCAGTAAGATGACACGAGTCTTTGGGCAACAAATGAAATAAGGAATAAACGAGCAAGGCTCTTATTAACTAAAAATTAGAAGGGACACACACCACTCTTCATTCTTTATTTGGGTCATCACCACAGAATTTTTCCTTCTGCAGAAGCCAAATCAACATTTCAGAGGTGCTCCACTTGTCAGCACCTCTTTTCCACAACTGAACAGTCATAGTAAAAAGCTGACTGTAACAAAAAATGGCAGTTTAACTAGAAAAGTAAAATAATTTCATTGCAGAAGGTATATTAAACTGCAAGTAATTATGGTATTTTATCAGAAGACCATTTTGAAAGACAGAGAGACATCTATAGAAACACACGGGACAGATACTGAGTCTTCCTTGTACATGTTTGTATTTGTTTTCATAATGCACTCCATTGTTTTGGCAGGTACCCAGAGGCAAATGACTAAAGTCATGTTAACGAAATCATAGTATAAATCATAAATAATTAGTGTGCAGGGATAGGACACTCACCCACTTTGGCATCTTGCCTCCATCAGGGTCATGATGGTGATACTGTAAGACCAGAACTGTTGCAACTACTGAGAGACCAACAATGACCATGGTAGTGGCAAAGTACTCAGCTGGGTAAAGATGAAATAGAGGAGACAGTAAAAATTGACATCAAGTTGTGTTGCAGTAAAACTATTAAATTACAAGGAGAAAATGAGGATAAGATTAAAGGTTTCAGTATAAGGAAAGGTGCAAGCTCAAGTACAACAGAGCAAAAGTCCATTATGCCTCAAGTACACACTCCATTTTGTGTCTCAGAGAAATGCAGCAAGCTGCTTCTTCATTTCACAGCTTCAAATATGGTGATTCAGATGAATAATACTGGATGGCTTCTTAAAATTTAGTTACACTTCCCACTGATTCTAGCTGTCACCCATAACTAGTGTTTTTACCTTAGCCTGGCTTACCTATTAAAGGTACTGAGTCTGATGTGGCGGGCATGATCTCTGCAACTAGTAGCATAAAGACAGTCAGGGATAGCAGGACTGTAATGCCTGGGAAGGAGACACATCTCAGTTAGCACTTCACAACAAAACTACTGAGTCCAATTACCAGTACTCAGATCATACAGTTATGACAGGGCTTCATGATACTTTGAAGATACAGTCTGTAAAAATTACTTTGTGATAATATGTAAACGATTATGTGGCTTATTCCTTGTTTAACATTATGAATACTCATAGTTTTATTCCATTCAGCTGAAGAAAAAGAATCCATGTGTAATTGGTAATTACAAGGTCATTTAAAACTCATCTTTAATTAGCAAGTTGCACACAAACAATTAAACCTTTTTTTTAAGCTGCAAAGTGTTTATGAAGTGTACCAGTCAGGTTTTAGAAGTAACCACAGCACTAAGTTGACCTTAAGATCAATAGTGGTTTGAACAGAATATCTACAGTATTTTAGTTTTGCTTGATCTCACTGCAGCATTTGAGACTTTAAGATGTGAGACTGAATGATTTTGTAGGTCTGTCAGCCCCATTCTCTACATGGTTTATTTACTGCTTAAAGGATTAAAGGTTTCCTTTTGCTGTTCCACTGAGACAAAAATTTGTTCAAGGGTCCCACAAAGGTGAATCAGAGGACTCTTTAATTAATCTAAACATGCTCCTACCTGGTACAGCTATAACAAAACATAATTATTCATATGCTGATGGAACATAGATACGTCTCTGTCCTTTGATTAGCTAAATCCCAAGTGGCAGCTAGTATTGTACTGACAATATCAATGGCTGGATGTCCACAGATCTTCTACAGCTGAACAACAGAGGAACAGAAATGCTACAGTACTTGTAGCTCCTCAAAAACAAAGACATAGATTTAAATATATATTCACATTTAGATTCATACCTTAAGCAGAAAAAAAACCTGTCCATGCATTCACTTCTAGCAGATAGATGGATTACTGTCAAACTCTTATACCAAAACAGACAATCCCAAGGCTGCAGCTCATTCAGAATGCAGCAGCCAGAGTCCTTACACAAACATGTAAATGCAAACACCAGTTACACCGGTTCTTAAATATCTTCAGAGGCTCCCAGTACAACACAGAATTAGCTTAAAAAATTCTGCTATAATGGTTTGGACCCCCAAGTGTATTATTGAACTGCTCACTGACTATAGTCCAACCAAACCCCTCTGGTCTTCTAACAGCACCCAGAATAAGATCCAGGACTTTAGAGGGAGCTTTTAGTAACTGCTCTCAGGAACAAACTACCAGATGAGCAGATGACACACATCGACTGTGGCTCTAAAGCACTGTTTGTTGGATTAATGAAGGAATCCAGCAACACTGGACTCTAATGATGAAGGAAGACACAAACTGCATAAATCGAAGCCCCCACACACAGTACACATCACCACCAACACTGCTACCCACCCTCAGACACTATCTACATAAAATCTGTTTAATTTATGCATGAAAGTCAAATGTGACAACTGTGATAAGATTAAATCGTTTTCATAGTCCTCTGACAGTTAAGTCAGTGACTCGGTGCTGATTATCAGTTCACTTCATAAGGTCATGGTGGAAGTGGATTAATGAAAAGCAACAGCTTTTTAAATAAGGCACTTATTTGTGAAGATTAAGGTTAGATTAGGATAAAGGGCAGGGAATATATTATGTCAGTGAGTGTCCTCTTAACTGTAGAAAGCCCAACATGGTTTGTGTGTGCAGGTGTGTGTCTGTGTATATGAGCCTGTATTGATGGAACACTCCAGGGTTCATGTCACACAGGCACAGTCCACCAAGCTATTGACATTGTGTTACAGGGATTGTTAAAATGTATACAGGGATGTTTGTGATGCACAGTAGTGAGCCAACAGAAAGAAATACATCTCTATTATGGCTTAAACAATATCTAAAAGCTAATGTCGGGGGCAACTGTGGTTCAGTGGGTAGAGTAGTTGTGAATGGGTGAATGGTGTATAATCTCCTGTAAAGCGCTTTGGCCAGTGTAACACACTGTGAGAAAGCGCTATATAAAATACAGTCCATTTACCATTTGTGTGTAACATACTTGGCCAATAAAAGTGATTATTAATGTAGTTTTAGTAAAATGAGTTTGAGTTGATTGTTTATACAAATACTTTGTACATACAAATCTGAAAGTATATGGAGGCAAAATGACAGGTTACGTGTTCAGTCCAGGTGCTAAACTACAAAACTAAAACTGATCTTCCTTAAATAATTTATAGAAAAATAAAAGTCTACAAACATAAAGTAGCATCCCTGCTAGGCTGTCATAGACACAGCAGTGCTTTGAGCTTAATGCTTAAGTCAGTACGTTAACATGCTCATAATGAATGCTTACATGATGTTAAAGCTATAGTATATAACTGAAGGTAGCGCTAGCAAGAAGCTCCAAATTAGTCCACTCTGCTCTGCTCAGAGCTCCCTCTCCCTGCTCCACTGCGCTCTACCATAATCTGCCCAGCTCTTCAGGTATTTGTTATAATGAAATTACAATAAATGAGAACGCAACAAGCAGAAATAACTGAAAACCTCTGACTAGTTAGAGAGGTCAGTCCTGCTCAAAACCTTTTAGAAGCTACTATGTCTGCACTGCTGCCAGTGCTGTTCAATGAGTCTGGGCCACAGGAGGCTTCGACAGCACCTCTCCACAAGTTTTGGTGCATATTTCCATAACAAAAATATTTGAAAAAGTTACATACTGCAGCTTTAAGCAGGTAGAATATTTCCCATGTTCAAAATCATCTTATCTTAGTAAATGGTAAAATTCTAACATTTGCTAGCTAGCAATAAATACAAAATACAGCTGAGTTGCGAGTGTCATTAGTTCAGTAGGTTTTTGGTCATAAATCGAGCTATTACACAAAATACTAATGTCTTAAAACATTCAGCTTTTGTTGTGATCATTATTTCAACTGCTTGTGTTGATACAATTCAGTGCAACATTTAGAAGCATCATTGTGTGGTAACACAATACAACAGTATTGGACTCATTGTTACCATCATTTGATATTAAAATTGAAGTGATAGCTTGGCTCTAGGAATTTGCTACCCTTTGGCCTTTTCTAATGAACTGTGGCACTTAGTTAAATTAAAAAATGTGCCATTTGCATTCACTGATGTCTATCACTGTATATTTTGATGCAGATCCAGACAGATCACATAAAAAAACAAATTGAGTGTAGCATTTGTTGGAGGCATGCACCAAAGCTCTTCTGAAATTCTTTATCCAAGCCTTAGCTGAGCTATGTGATCTATTAGTGCTCTCCAGCATCACTGCCCATGAGTCTGCCCTGTGTTTTCCTGGTCCGGTTGGGTACATCTTAATTCTCTTAAGTGCAGCCATGTTTCTTTCACTTGTGTTTTTTTACTTGCGTCTTAGTCCCAAAAAAAGAAATGACAGTGCCCAACAGCCTGAGACACAGCAACAGAGGTTTTATTGCCAGAAGATACTGTATGGAATCCAAGTGCCAACCAATCTGATGTAAATAGCACTTACTGTTTTTCTGGCCACTCCATGTACAGTATACTGTATAGAACTATAACTAATGAACAGTTGATTGAATTTAAATTTCAAGAAACATCTGGTAATAATCATGTGGGAATTTCTGTGGTGCAACTGTGCTACATTTCTACAATGTTGCCAACAATGAAAGAGCAATGCACTGCACTACTTGGAAACCTAATGTGACAGTAGGTTACCTAATAATCTACAATGTGTGTGTGCGTATAAAATCCAGTACCACTAACCCAGTGAGATCTTCTCGCCAGAGTCAGCAGGCAGAAGGAAGACAAGCAGGGCCAGAGTGGAGATCAAGACACATGGAATGAGCAGATTGAGACCGTAATAGAGGGTCCGTCTTCGCATCACTACAGTGAAGGTGACGTCGGGGTAGGGCTCCTCGCAGCAATCATAGAAACGCTCACTCCTCTGTCCTGGAACCTCTGTGAGACAAAAAAAAAAAAAGCACAATCTACACTGAGAGAAATGGAGTAAAGAGCTATGGAGAAACGATCAGTTCACATATACACAGAGCAATAATGACAACTGTGATGCACTTCTGAAGATCGATCCACTGCACCTCACAGCATATCATTCCCCCTTACCAACAAGATCCCACTCTCCATTGGCGATGTAGCCGGTGATATCTGCTTCCAACATCTTTAAGTCAAGAGACCAGCCCCCATATGTCCAGGAGCCAAACTTCAGGTCACATCTTTGGACATCAAAGGGGAACCAGCGCACATCAATGTAGCAGGTGCTCTTGAAGATCCCTGGTGTGGAGAGAAACATAAATAGGCCAAGAATTTAATATGTACTCTACTTTACCTGCACATGGCTACTGCAAGTGGCCAGTGATCATTCAGGAGAGGCAGGCACCAAACTCATTTCCATCCACATTTTAGATATAAGACATTGGCAGTAAACAAGGTCCCTCCTCTCTCTCAGTGCCTTGAAGATGATGAACATCAGCAAGGAATGAACAGCGATGTGAAGCAGAGAAGTAGAATGGCTCCAGTTTACTGTAATGAATCTCAGAGACACAGACAAATTGCAGGAAATTCAAAATGATTTGGAACTGCCCACCAGGTCATATCTGCATACAGCCATATTCATCTAATGCAGCTGTGTTGATCACAAGCAGTGAATGACTATTTTGCACTGATGTGACACTCAGTGAGGGTTCATGGGCTGAGGGGCAAGTTGAGAGGCGATTTGCTGGTGGCAGAGGCAGTCAGACTAGAATAAATCTGGTAATGGAGCTATTTTTGTCAATATTGATTAAGGCGATGCAGGCTGGCACTTTTGCGTGGTAAAGGAAAAAAGGGGAGGGGGAAGAGCCTGCCAGCGAGAGCAGTAATCACCAGCTATGACAGGGAGGCCTTCTGTTTCACTGTGTTCCCATGGATGCATGTGTGTATCCACATGGGTTGACGGTTTTACAGAAAGTATGCTAAATCTTTAGTGACCACACAGTCGCTCAAATCAGGAAAAATGCTTTAAATGACAGTTTCAGGAGTGACACTGTTTTAAAACACAAAGAGCAGTTTGACATTTTGGAAAACTAAGCTTCTAGACCTTCTTCCGCACATTAACATGAGAAAATGAATACAGCACTTACATGTGTCATTGAACATGAGCCCACTGGTTTTATTCAATTTTAACATATAAATGCTAGCTTAGAATCAGGAATGGAAACGGGGGGAACAGCTAACCTGGCTCTGTGCGGAGGAAATTAAATTCACCTATAAAATCTCTCAAGTCAATATTAGCACACTTTGAGCAAGTAACATGATGTAAAATGTTATTTAGTGACTTTTAGTAGACACAGCCAATTGAGCACTACTTCACCTGTTTTGTTTTAATACCAGTATTGATTTCTGCAGAGTCATAAAATAAAAAAGATAAAACTCCAGAGAAAAAAAACAATATAACACAGCACTAAAGCTAAAACACAAACCCTTGAGATGGTAAAAATGATCCCTTAAAAGAAAAAAAAAAACCCTTAAAATTTTCTTAATATCTTTAGGGAGATAATTCAGAGTTCTTGTTCATGAAACCTCAGGAGCAAGTGCTGTTGTCTCATTAACCTGAGCAGAAGTCTCCGTAAGAAAATCCATCCTATTTGATGGTAGGAGCTTCTTGAGTGCAAGTTTTATACAATAAATATCCATCTTCATGTTTTAATCAAGGAAGATTGTGTCTGTTTGATATAAGGAAAAATCTTTTAGTTCCTGTCAGTGTATTGCGTTACGGTAACATTAAGCCATGATAATATGATATTGATATACTAATGATAAAATAACAACACTTCATCTTAGATATTATCCCATGAGATGTGGTGTACCGGTATATTAATAATTTTCTAAAATAATACTAGTATATCTCAAGTGTACATTTACATCTGGAGCTTCTTTAAACAATTAGCATCTCTGACTATTTTGAAATATTTTCATGTAAAAACATATGGCAGAGGAAAGGAGAAATGACCCAACACCTAACATTTCCAATAAGTAAACATCTGGTTTTATTCAATTTTAACATATAAATGGGATTATGGCCCTTACCTGGGGGTAAATAGGAACAGGTGCCTGAGGAGTTGACCAAAATGTTGGTGTGGAACGTAGCATCAAATCTTTCATCTGCACTGTGGACAATATGGAACAACATCAGCACTGACTGCTGCATCACCAGACATGGTGCAAGCCTACACATATCTCCATCTCATTATTGCAGCAGGTACAGCACATGAGTGACAACTGATGCAACATTTCTCTGGAGGTGGTTATTCTGTGGTTACCCTTATTCTCCCATGGTACCCGCGATTCACTCCCCAGGGGTTGATGCAGGGTTGACCTGAAGCTGATATACTTTCTTGAAATAGAACAAAACTTAACTTGCAGCAACTCAAAAAATCTCTAATTAAGACTTTGCTCAGTGGGACAACGAAAAATGAAGTACAATGCTTTTTCCCTCATTAGCTAATGGGAGAGCAGTTTGCCTCGAATGTGTTTTGTACAGATGTTTCCCTTTAAAGATTGATTAATGATGATCTCTATAGCATTTACATGAGGGACATTTAATGATATACCTTTCCCTATCTTTCTATCCAAGCCTATTCTTTCATCTAAATCATTTATAGTTCCAAAGTGCCCTTCTAGACCGCATACATTTAAACTGCAGAGCACCACTAAGTTATATTCCTACCTGAAAACCAGTTTACCTAACAGAATGAGCAGCATCACTGCAACATAGTTTCATTTATGGAAACATTTCTGAACAACTTTTTACTGTTGCTGAAATTTAACAAAGAAATACATTCACTTTGTGCATATTGCTCTTCCAATCTTGTACGAGATGTAAGTGCTTAGTTCTGACAATGAGCCATAGCCGAATGTCTTGTTCCAAAGGAAAAGAGGAAGTCTGTTATCTAACTTCCATTTTATGCGTGTGAGTCCCTCTCTGCAGGAAAATCTAAGCCCTGTGACACCATGGGCTGTGATGTTTGCAGACCTCATGAAACAACATGTATTCAACTGAATACATTTATTTCATCCAGGTAGCTTTTATAGTACACTATGTGCTGCTGAGATAAGGACAGTTTTACACACACACACACACACACACACACACACTGTATTTTGTGCCTTAGTCTTAAAGAAAGGATGATATATTGTCAGGTTTGCCCGGCTGCACCTGCCTTTCTCACTTCCCTCACTCTGTTTTGGCTCCCTTACCCTGGTTACACTATCTGACACACCTGCTTCACTTCCCCAGATAATCACCAGCTACACCTGATTAGTTCCTCCCTACTTATACCCTGCTCACCGTTCACTCCCCTGCCAGTTCTTTCTCAACTCTCAGGCCCGTCTTTGCTCTCATTATTTTTTTTGTCTGGCAGTTGCATTATTCTGAGTCCTTACGTTTTTCTGTCTCCTACCAGCCCTGTTTTCCCTTCGCCTCCATAGCCTTGTTTCCGTCCCTGCTACACCTTCCTCCTCCACGGACCTCTCCTCCGAACCTGGAACTACTCAACCCTGCCAGTCTCCACCATACAGGTCGATGCACAGTCGTCATTAACTGTTTGTACATACTTCTGTCTTCTCAGCCATCATTGCTTCAAACCCCGACCAGTTCAGGAGTGACCCCAGCGTCCGCAGCCTGGTCTATCAACATTCATCGCACAACTGACTGTTTTCCTCTGCTGCTGCTCGACGCCCGGTTACACTCCATCTCTCTTCACCTGTCTATTTACCTGTCTGCTATTATCACTGTAAATAAATTGAGCACTACTAGCACCGAAGTAAGCTACCTGGGTCCGTCTTTTTTCACTCCCTCGCCTCCTTGTCCGAGCGATCCCAACATATATGACAGCATAACTTACACCAGCACTTGTCCATATAATTGTCCATAAAACCCCCTGAATGAAATGAATGCATTCAGTTGTTCAAGGAGAGTATTTTATTTAATTATTCTAATTTTTATTTTATTGAATTCAATAACACATTTAAGATCTAAAATCATTCACATTGCATAATTATTCCACCAAACAATTTTACAGGTGTGTGACTTGTTTAACAGTTCTGGGCCAGTTCTAAATCTGAAAAACTTTGTGAATATCACAAATGTCACTTAAGAATGAATCTGTCTGTGTGTGGCTCTTGCATGAGGGAGGAGGTTTTAACATGAAGATGAAGATCACAGAGACAAAACAATTCCGTCATGTTTCAGAAGAGACATACATCACAGTCAGAGTCACAGTAAAAAAAAAAAAAAAAAGTTTTAACTCTGGAATACAAGAATCAAGAAATGCATCATTCCCCTCCCCCGGTCAGAAGATAATGCATGCAATTACTGTACAGTGCAGCACCCAGCAGATCTGTCCCTATAATGCTTACCTGTTGTAGAGCAGGATGTCTGGCTTCCAAATGAGATGGTCAGGAAATCTCACATTGGCCACACCGGGGTACTCGGATGTATTCCACTGGAGGTAATAATCATTCCAGTACTGTGGGATACATACTATCTTCAACATACAGTATCCTTTAGTCTCCAGTTTGGTAAGTCTTGTTTGAAAGTTCAAGCTGGGATCCAACACTAGTGGCATTCTTAGTCGCAAATACAGTATATGTGACAGTTGCTGTGGTAACATTATGCAGTGCCAGGTTTCAGTGGCAACGGGACAGAAATCATTTTTTTGCAGTTCAAATACTGGAGTATGCGGCACGGAATTACCTGGTGCTATATTTCTAATAACCAGGAGTATGCAGCACTGAATTACCTGGTGCTATATTTCTAATAACCAGTCATGTCTTTCCTTTGGCAGATATCGGTGCAATGAAGAGGATCTCAAACCAATTACTACCATATGTTTATCAAAAGGCTTTAAACAAGATAGAATGTCATACTTTAAATATTACAGCATTTCCAGCTCATTAAACTGTACGACATTCTTTACTACATATATCTGAGATTTTATAGTAATATTATGAGGCGATTAAAATGATAAACTGTGAACTGGGTTCTGTTTTTACATGATTCCATAAGCATACTTTTGGCAATTTCTGTACTTTAATAAATAGTATTATTACATAGGCTATGTATACGTATTATACAGTGACTGAGGAAGCAGGCCAATAAACAACGCTCCGCCCCTCCTCCATCAGCAGGGCTATGCCACCCCTCATAGCTACTGTGGATTCTGTATGCGCTAGCTTGTGTTTGACAGGTGACATAAATTTTGCAGGGTGTGGAGTGACAGAGGCTGACAAGACAGCTGTTGTGATCCCACAGGGTGATTTAAGGCAATTTAAAACAGACCAAATGGCCTTGGAGCATTGTGCTGATGGTGTAGCAGCGAGGAACTAATAGACAGGCTGTGATAAAACATTTCGGTTCATATAATTCATCTTGCTACAAGGAGGAGAAAGGGACATATTGCTCCTGTGGAAGATGAAGGATAAAACTGGGCACTAGTAGATGTGATAAACAAAACTGTATGACACACATTAATGCAATAACACTAATTATGGTATGCTAGTAATTAAGTAGTTACATTTATTGTGATTAGATGCACAAATGAGATAATTGACACAACTGTAATATTTGCAAATTAAGTATGACGCTACAGTTAGCTTAGCTTAGCTTAAAGACTGGAAACAAGGGGAAAACGCTACACTACTGTAGCTCTATTATAAAATAACAGCATTGGCCTACCAGCTCACTATTTAAAATGTTAAAGCTTGTGTAATTTTACAGAATGAAAATGTAAACTCTCCAGGGCACAGCAAAGAAGTAGCTCGTCTGTCACCCAGTGCATGCTCAAATGCATTGTGTTTGCATGGACAGAATATGTAGATATAGAAAATGGGTGGATTTACCTTTTAAAATGCAGTAAAATGTAGAATGCATGCAAGTGTAACCACAAGGTTGTGCAGCTTTTTTCTGTGATTTTACTCACACTGTACAGGAAAAAGTCTTACCAGCTGTAGCCAGATGTTGGTTGTCAAAATCTGGTTCTTCTCATCCTGTTAGAAAAACATGGTAATAGTTAATGTTATCTTTGAGGTATATTGCTGTATATATTTATTGTTTTCTCAGTGTGAGGAGGAATCACACTAGTCAAATCATTTTAACTTCTACAGTATAGCTTCACGTGTCAGGGCCATGGTAACGGAAACAGAACAGCAGCTGTTCAGTGCAAGGACAAGCAAGTTTAAAAAAAGAAAATAAATGAGCTGTAATTACTTTCAGCATATACAATGTCTTTACTAATTGGCTTTTGGTAAATCGGTGAGCTTCTATAAGCTTGTTTTGTTTCCTTTTGTTCAGTTTTGCTAAAGCCTTGTGCATCAATTATGCATTCAGTTTATAACTTAAAATACAAACCCAGATGTAGATGATGGAAAATGTATTAATGTTCACAAAAGATAACTGGAACATTTAATCTAAATAAGTAAATACATAGATATACTACTACACTGCTAGAGTAGTATACAACCAAAGTGAAGTGACAGTACCAACTTTTACTAACTGATAACTGACTATAACCTAAAAAAGAGTAAATTATCATAACACCATCTTGTGCAGTGCATATGCTGTCTGTACATGTTAGGAATGTGTGGAGAGCCACTAATTATGTACCACATCCATGATCTGCATGAGGCTGAAGCCGAAGTGAACAGTGAGAGTCTGAGAGTCATTGAAGACTGGTCTCTCCAGTGGGTTGTAGTCAGTCATCAGGTCCCTGTACAGTCTGCGCTGGTGTTTCCCTTGAAGAGAAACTACAGAAGACAGAGAGACCTGGAGAGTAAACACACTTCATAAAAAAATTGCAAGACAAACTTTGTTAGTCAGATCAACTGGCAATTGATTTTCAGTGTTCACTGCCAAACTTCTATTGACACAGTCACACTGCAGCACAAATAGTGATGAGATCAGTTCAGTGTCTGTCTTCTATGACTGATAGATTTATTGTTCAAGCAAGAGCAGAAGCAGAGCTGAGTAAACGCAGTGGGGACCACCACCAAAGAGAACTACAAGAACGACACTATAACTTCACCAGCAGAAAATCCATAGGGGTGGATGTCACACTGCTAAACTTTCTGTGATCCAAGTGTTTATTAACAGTGCATCCATCCATTAGCTAAACCCGCTGATCTTTAGAACATGGCGGAGGGGCTGGAGCTGATCCCAGCAGACACTGGGCGAGAGGCCAGGCACCATTCTCTCACACAAAAAGACAGGCAGCCCTTCACTTTTACATTCACACCTATACCAGTTCACCAATTTCCTAACTTTCATTTCACTGAAATGAAAATGTTAACCCCAAAGATGTTGACAAAATAATAACCAATTTGTACACCATAGTTTATAATGTTTCTAGGAAATGGCATTAAAAAACTGAATAGAAGTTTCTATAATGTAAGCTGTAATGATTTATACTAATGTTCTTAATTGCTGTGGAAGCCATTGTTTAAAATAAACCCCTGCACAATTATTTGGATCAAAAGTTCACTAAAATCTGTGAAAACTTAATGTTTTTTTGCCACTTGGTTGCTACAAAAACAAGGTGTAAACCAAACATTTTAGCACCTTTTACGTTTTCACTGGAAACAGTTTCCTTTTTACACATCCAGCAGGAGCACAGAAACATTTGGGACAGTGTTGATTCCACCAGATGAATGTAGTAATTCCTTTTAGCCCTGTTGCATCTGGCCCTTCAGCTCCTAAATGCTCCACAATGTTTACTGGCTATTGCTGTCTGCCATTTGGTGCTGAGCATGTTAGTGTACAGCTTTTGTTAAAAATAGCTGCCCAACGTGGCCAGAAACTAAAGTCATGGTTGAGAGGAAACAGTAAAGATGTAAAACAATGAGATGCTAAAAAGCTCTGTAAAGCCGAGAGAGTTGGGTGACAAATTCTCATCATAACTACATCACTATAAGCAACACCTTGCACATAAAAGTAAAACTCATATTTTAGTTAATGTTGAAGAGGAATATTTTAATAAGGTCTAGCATGGTGCAGCCCAGATGAGACAATCATGGACTAGACTCTGTCCCTCATTTTAACACATTCTCACACATATGTCCCCTTTCAAGCTATGGAGCTTTTTGGTAGCATTTATTCACTTTGCTAATGGCCATAGCCCAATTATCTAAAACCACCTATGTGATGCACATTATCCCAAATGATTTGGCAGACAGCTTGATGTCTGTAGGTATCTCCTGATTCCTCTGCCCTCTGTTGCACTCACACTCTCATAAAAGAGACTGAAAGGTCAGCTGAAAGCTTGTCTTTGTCCATGGCTGAATCCCCCGTGATCCACCCCCTCCCAATCCCAGCATCATCACATTTCACTATGAGGCCTGGAAAGACAATATCATTGCGTGTATCTTTTTCTGTAATACATGTCAGTATATTACTGGCTATCAGACCATTTCTGATAGGATGCCAATATGCTGCAAAAATCTGCTAGAAACCATAGAAGGGAGAAGCAAAGCCTGTCTAACTCCTAATCAAATTTAACATCCTTATTAAAGCCAGAGAGGCGGACCAGGGCTTTAAACACCCCCAGATGTGCTCAGACATTTAGATCATGTGCATGTAAGTGCACACGCTACCTGACTTCTCTCCATCTGCCTCTCATTACTTCACTCTCCGGGAAAACTCAGTTAGCCGGTGCCTGTAAAGCACAGACTGAAGAGCCTGAGCCTCAGTGATGATCATTAACCTAATTGCCTCAATCAAAATATGCAAGATTCAGAGCAGATTTGAGTAAAACTGATGAAACACGGCATATCTGGAGGGTTTCATGAACTAATTACCATTTAATTATCATGTCTTTTGTTTTAAATTAGCACTGATTTGTGGTGTGTGGCCTTTTAGACACAGGCAGCAGAAGATATGTTGCAATATAATGTGAAATACACAGTGACTTTAAATATACAGTGTACACAACTTTATTACTGTTGTAGATTTCATTTTAAATTGATAACATTGCAGTTTTTACCTATCAATCTACAATGACTATCCCATAATCACAATATAAGAATATGTTTTTAGGAATGTTTGCTGATTTATTAAAAAAGTCAAAAACTGAAATCTATCATTTTATTCAGCCCTTTAATTCAGTACTTTATAGAAGCCCCTCTGGCAGCAATTAGTCTACAGCTTTCAGTCTTCTTGAGTAAGTCTCTATAAGCTTTGCACACCTGGCTTTGAGTGGCTTAGCCCATTCTTCCTGGCAGATCCTCAAGCTCCGTCAGACTGGATGGGAAGTGTCTGTGAACTGCCTCTACAGGTCTTTCCAGAAAAGTTATCTGGGGTTTAAACCTGGGCTTTGGCTGAGTCACTCAAGGACAGTCAGAGACTTGTCCAGAATCCTCTCCAGGTTTGTCTTGGCTGTGACCTTCAGGTCATTGTCATCCTGAAAGGTGAATTGTCACCCAGTCTCAGGTTGTGTGCACTCTGGAGCAGGTTTTCTTCAAGCACCTCTACTGTGCATGAAGCTTTTCATTGGTTCTGACTAGTCTCCCTGCTTCTTCGTAGGGCAGGCTGACAGACATGGTGCTTGGAATTCTGCCCAAAGTTCAGTTTCTGGCTCATAAGACCAGATACTACTTTCCTTTATGCTCTGAGTCCTTAAATGGCTTTTACTCAAAGTGGCTTCTGTCTGTTTGGACTGATAGACTTCTGAAGCTCTGTCAGAGTGGCCATTGGGTTCTTGGTCACCCACTGACCAAAGAACATTTGGCCAGGTTGCTGGTTTGGCCCCAGACGTCTTCCATTTCACAATCACTGATGCCACTGTGCTCCTGGGAACACTCAAAGCTTTATTAAAGGTTTTATACCCCAGCCCTGGTCAGTAGATCTACAGAGAGCTCACTGGACCTCATGGCTTGGTTTCTGGCCTGGCACACAGTGTAAAAACTCTGGGACATTATACTGTATACACAGGTATGTGACTAGCTAAACTATGTCCAATACATTCATTTTGCCAGAAGTAGACTAAATTACTTTTTTCCCCTACAAAAATCCTAAGTCCCTGCTTGAAGCCATCATGAGAATTCCACCACAGCCTCAGTAAAAGCCGCATGCATGACAGCTATTATGTCATATGAATTGTAAATAATGTTGGCTGCAAATGCTTTTCATCTATATGACAGGCATGGCTACACATTTCATTTTAAAGAGCTTTAAAGTTAAAGAAAATATATTTCTATCATTTAGCTACAAACACACACAGACGCAAAATCAAATGCGTTTATGGCTGCGCCTTGACATGAAACGGGGGTCCTATCGTTTTATAGACATTTAGGCAACATTCAGCCTTTTGTATCTGTGACACCGTTGGGTAGTTTATTACAGGTTCGGTGGATTTTGGATGGATTTTGGATTTAATATCAGTTAACAAAACAAGATCCCGAGTCCAGCTGGGTGAAATGTTAACAATTATAGCTACCGGACACTCTACTTTCTCTGAGTTCATATTTAGACAGTGTTACAGAACGACAACGTTACCAAATGCTCGGTGTTAGACACAACAGGTAGCCTAATGCAATTCCAGTTAGGAGGCTTGCAAATCAGGTAAATTATGAAACGCAAAGCCCGCATGACAAAGGAGTCCCGATACCTCCTAATAAAATGTCTTTTTTTGCAGTTAAAGCGCACGTCCACAGCCTAATAAAATGTCTTTTTCGCACTTAGCGCACGTCCACAGCCTAATAAAATGTCTTTTTCGCACTTAGCGCACGTCCACAGCCTACCAAAATGTCTTTTTCGCACTTAGCGCACGTCCACAGCCTACCTTTCACTGCGCAGGCGGTGACTGCAACAGAAAGCAGAAGATTTACCAATTCCATGCTGAGCCGAGCGAGGAGCAGAGAGATCAGACCCTGTAGCTCAGTTCATCGTGCGGGATGCGGGAATGATGACACGGTGTGTATGTTTTGGTGTGGGGGCGTACGTGCGTGTTAGTTAAATAACTCCTCCTCCTAAGGAATCTCTGCTCTCTATTGCTATTTGGCAAACAGCAAAATTTGTCGTCCCCCGTGGAAAGTGCAGCCAGAGTAAGTTGTCACACCTACTGGTCATGATGAACATAAAGATACTTACAGTGTTTAAAAATACCAGTCACGCGGCCTGACAGCTACAAATACATGGTTTTCCTACTCCCTTCTGTTTTATTTACATTGTGAAACATATACTGTAAATGTGGACCATGCATATGCTATGTATTAAAGCTTTAATGAGTGCAGCCTTTGTCAGAAGTGGAAACTAAGTACATTTACTCAAGTACTGTACTTAAGGACAGTTTTGTGGTATGTGTACTTGAGTATTTTCATTTTCTGCTATTTCATACTTTGACTTCACTACATTTCAGAGAAACTACAGAAGACAGAGAGAAACTTATTTGCACTTATTTGACAGGTTTATTTACTAGTTACATATTAGAATTACAGCTGCATTTCGAAATCACAGCTAATGCATGGAGTCTTCTTTTTTCGACTGTTTATCTGTCTAATTTTGCAAGCACTGCACGATATGTGCACATACCCTGTGTTCTCCACATACAGCCAACACTCATCATAGTTAAAACTCTAGGATCTCTCATTTTTCTATCAGCAATGAACAACATGCAAGAGAAAATTATCACAGCTCTGTGGCTGCATCATTCATTAATAAGCACAACAATTAATAGTTAGCAACAATACGTCATGTCAAGCCCTAGAAATAAGCACACGTATGCTACAGTAAGGCCTACTGTTTAAATTTGATCTTTTTAAGTTCATGAAATAAAAAAAGTAATGGTGCACTAACATTTTTCCTAAACAAAGGTTTATTTTAAATGATGGTTTTCTGCAGGTGTTGTATTGATGTCTTTTCACCTCAAAGATCACCAGAATAAGTAACTGACCCAAACTCTTGTAATAAGTGTAAATGCATAAAATGTTAATCTCATAATACACTTATTAAAGTGTATCAGTTTATTGAGTATAAGCAAGCACTGGGAATATAATAAAACATGTTTTAATACGTCTTTTTGTATTTTGGATTGAAGTTGGTGCCTACAAAGCGCTACGCAGGGTTTACTATGCCCTCCACCGCAGCTAATTCCTACGCTGCAATTTGATTGGTGGAATTTAGACGTACTTGCGGAAACGAGACGGCAACGAGGAAGTGACACATTGTTGCAGTTGGATGAAATTATCTTACCATCCATCTGATAGCCATCGAGTACCGTTAACAAGGAACCTAAAATGCAGTCTGTACGAAAACGTCGAGGCAACGCGCTAAACAGAGCAACACAAAATAGGTGTGTACACTTAGCAGTAGACTAACGTTGATGTTACTTTCGTGGGACTCAGAGCCGTTTCAGAAATCACTGAAATAGTGGGAAATAAAAAATATAGCTTAACCCATTTGTAAGACACTGCTACAAATAAATTATGTCAATGTGTCCGCTCTCTTCACTTGAAACGAATAACTGCAGGCGGCGTATCCGCCTACAATGGTATTATGCCAAATGAAAGCGAGCAGGTGCGGATTTCGCTCGTGTTGTTGGCGTGAAATAAGGTGTTGAAAATGTCTCAGCTGTGCTCTGTTCACATATTTGTTATAGCTGGTTAATAAACAGACACTGGCTGCAAAACACTTCGGCAGTTGCAAGCTACGGATATAAATATGTTGGCGGTGAGCTGGTGGTTACAGGTACCTTTCTCTTGTCTGCAGGCTTCTTTCGTTACCATCAGGTTTTTCGGTCAGCCCTGTCATCAGTGACTGAGGTAGTAGGCCTAATGCTGGATAGCTGTGGGCTCAGCACTCCTGCATCTGATGCGCAGTTTACTGAATTTTAATTCTTTTTAGGACCGCAACTAACTCTAATTATCGACTAATCTGATGGTTATTTTCAAAGTTAATCATTGTGACTATAAAACAAAACGGTCACATAGTGATACAAAACAACCATAAAGGAACGTAGTGAGATTAAATAGTAATAATAATAATAAAGATATTATCTCTGAGTTGCAAAGAAAATGACTACAGAGACACAACCACAAAAACAAAAAGACCACTGAGACACAAAATAACTACAGAAAGATACAAGAGGACCACTGAAACAAAACATCCACAAAGAGAGACAAAATTATCACATGGTTGCATGTGCTTGTAGGCACTTTGTGTCTGTTCCATATAGGAGGGTCAGGGGGCATTTTACCTTTCTGTGCACATTTCCCCATTTGTCAGTGGTACCTCAGGGATCTGGATGTACAATAACAGTAGACACTAGTTTTTCATTTCATTGTGGAATTTTTGAGCACATTAGTGGAAACATTCACACACTGATGAAATGGTGTACAGTGACTGGAGTGGACCAGCAAAGTGCTTTGTTACTTTTTATATGAAGGACTTATTGTAGTAATAAAGTAAAAAGCAATAAAGGCCAATGCATTTTGACAGCAAACTTTACTGCAGTAGCAAACACTGTAGTAAACCTTACTTTGCTACAGTACTCTAACATGCCTGTTAAACACTTGAACTCTGATGCCCTTTGCTCTCGTAGTGTTGCTTTATTACAGTGACTCACCATCACTGTAAATGTGTGTTGACAGCACTCCTGGTCTGAAGGAAAATGTGGCACAGAAGAAAAGGCCACACTTCCACTTTGACCTGTGGTTCTGTCTGACTCTGCAGAACTGGGTACTGGACTTTGGAAGGCCTATTATCATGGTAGGGATGCTCAATGCACATTTCACTTAATTTGAAGCTCCTGCAGTTTGAAATGATAAAATGGATGATTACACCCTGTTTCATAGAGCAATGAACACCAATAGTTTCTTGGTATTGTATGTATGTATTAGATTGTCCTTCCTCTTGAGTGGTTTCCCCTGAACAAGCCCAGTGCTGGAGACTGTTTCCACATGGCCTACAATGTCATTACACCATTCCTAATGCTCAAGGTGAGTCTTAATACAACAGGCTGCTCTGGTGATTGTGGAAGAAACAAATGGGAAGAATATTCAGTACAAGACAATAAAGCTATAGTACTACTCCATATAGTACATCCCAAAAAATGCCATTCTGTAATCATGCAGTTTATGTTTTTACTTTTCTTCTATCAGACTGATTAAGCCCAACACTGACTGAACATGCTTTGCTAATAAAATACCTTTTAAAGGCAGGCCTGTTATAGTAACCACCAGAACAAAACATGTAAAAATAATATTATATCACTAGAATGACTTGGTTTTCCATGATATTTAAATGAGCACAGCCAGTGTTTTAAAGACAGAAAACTAGCCAAAATAGGTGCCAATTAGTACATTTAATGTTGCATATTAGTTATTGATATTATGTTAAATTAAGATCAAAATTTCTGACAGGACTGGTTTACTGTGGGTCACTGCAGAGAAACCCGATGTCATGAGAAATATTTTTATATATACCAAATTGTAGCCTGCTGAAGCATTTGTACTGTATTTGTATTGTGTTTACGCAACAGTTTTTCTTTGAGGATCAACAGTTCTGACTCTTGTTTTGTCTGTGTCTCAAGTGCTTGGCTTGTAACTACATCATTTCGTTCATGTGGCTGGATGGACCAACCCAGCTTTATGGTTATCGAACATGCTAATGTCATGCCAGGCGAAGCCTGAGGGTACTGCACCTCAAGGCAGCCTAACTACGTGATACAGGCCCCTTTCAAATTATGGATTGAAATTGCCTTAGAATTTGGGGTATTGTTTTTCTATTACTGATGTTTCTAAAGCTAAATTGACACAAAGTAAAGTTAGTTGAAACACCTGCTCTTCAGGGCAGACTGGTTCAGTTCTTGCACACAGGGTTTGATCCCTGAATGTCTGCAGAGCACGGAGCAGTGAGGCTGGAACAAAGTCAGGAGACACGAATTCCCAAAGATATAACCAAAATAGGGAGAAAGTAGTAATGGATTATTTCTGAAATATAGTTGCTATGTGTTGCTGCTCCATTCAGCTGATTGAGCGCAGTCCTAGGGTGCTGCCTCGCTCAGCGGTCTACCTCTGCATCATCACCTTTGTCATGGGAGCCAGCATCCACCTGGTGGGAGACTCCATCAACCACCGGCTCATCCTGAGTGGCTACCAGCTCCACCTGTCAGTCAGAGAGAATCCCATCATCAAAGATCTTAAACCTACCTCACTGGTAAGACATCGTTTGGTTGAAGGGGGTACAGTTGGACTCTACAGTGGTTGTACTGTAACCGTACTGCCAATACACAGAATTTCTGTTTCTGTGTTAGTGTTTTATTTGCTGGCCAGTGGGTACCTACACAGATTCTACAGACTATCAGTATACTTTTATCATCTGTCAAAACGTCACACAACAAAAATCCGGTCGTGTTGCTTGTGAGTGACACAAACCGATTTATCCTGCTGTGTTTGAGTGGAGCTTATTTTTCTCGTTCCTTTTCATTCTCATTTAATTTTCCTTTGTCACACTGATTTCAGGACTAAAAGCACAGGATCATATTTGTAACAGTGATGCAGTTTTCAGCAAGATATTTTACAGTATATTCATTTATGTCATATCAGGAGCAGGATACAGGGAGGCAGGATTATTACAGTATATACTGTAGGTTACCTCATGTAAGCACCAAATTAAATTTTAATTGAATTTAATAGCTTTTTATACAGTGATGCACAGCTAGCCTAAATCTTTTTCACCTCACCACACTGCTGCTTTCGCTGTGCTGTATCTTTGTTATGCAGCTGCACACATAAAAGCGCAGTCAGAAACACATGTATGACTGTTCTACCAGACTTCAGTTTCTCTTGCAGATATCATGCTACAACAGTGCTGTATCTTTTGGTTCTTCATGATGTTTCAGAAAACAAGGTGCTGCAGAAAGTTACTGAAGTGCATTGTAAGCCCACAGTGCTGTATCTTTTGGTTCTCCATGATGTTTCAGAAAACAAGTGGCTGCAGAAAGCTGACAATAGTGAAGTTACTGAAGTGCATTGTAAGCCCACAGACACCTTCAGAGTAGGTGAATAGGGTCTATTAATTCCTGTGTCTTCCAGTGTCGCTGCATTCTGTGATGTCTTGTATAACACTTTTTAAATCAATGGCAGACTTGTAGCATACATGTCTGTCAGATCAAAGAATAATAAGCATCCTATTGTGCCTTACATTTAGCATTGTGTGCACTGTAGTGGTATATACATCACTCACATATGCTCCAAACTCAGTCCTCTATATATCAAACACAACTATAAGGTAAACCAGCTGAGAGAGTTGATTAAAAATTCCAAGAAGTGATTACATAGAACTTCTGGTGTAGGCGTTTGTGTTTGTTAAGTTGTGTGAATTCAAACCAGCTGTTCACTTCATGAAGCTTTAGAAGTTCAAAAAGTCTGTCTACAGTGTGTGTGCGCACTCATCAGAGTCCACATGCACTGATGCACGTACAAAAGCAATAATTATTTGCGAAGGATAATTTTCAGTTAATTACAAGCAAGTGACAACAGAAGAAAGAGATTAATACTAACATATAAAAGTGGATGAGGTTTTACACAGTGTAAATGGTATTTGAACAGTAGGTGGCACTGTTGAATAAGGCAGTGAGAATGGGGCTTGTCTACCTATCCAGAACAAAACAATGTGCCACAAACATTGTACAGAGTTTCTAGCTGTTATTCATGCTGTTTGTCTTTCCTTCACAGATTGACTCTTTTGAACTGCTGTATTATTACGATGAGCAGCTGGGCCATTTAATGTGGTATGTATTTGTAATCATTCTTTGCGTTGTGCTGGGAAATGGCTGGAACGTATCAGAATATAGGATCCAATGGTTTTCTATAAACTAACGTTTGTTCACCTCTTTCTGTTTAAATTTCAGTCCAGTAAATTCCAAATCTGGTTGTAATTAATGCTCTTTGGAAGCATACTAAGGCAAGAAACCAATTAAAGAGGAAACGTATAGAGAAGAAATATCCTTTCTGGAACCTGTGGTTATGGTCCATCTAAATACAAAACAGATTTTGATTTGAGCTCATCCAAAAATCTGTTGACAGCTTATGAGAGCTGTAGTGTTGCTTTGAAGATAAATACAGAAACAGACATGAAAGGAGGGTCAGAAGCTGTGAAACTTTAAAAACTGGGTTTATTAAAAAACTGACGGGATTAGTAAGGAGCAAGAGGAAGATATATATATATCACTTTCTTTTTATTGGCATAGGCCGTTAGTTTTATGGCAGGTAACAGGCTCAGTCAGACAGACAGAACACACAGAGCAAGCTGGCAACACTGCCATAAAATCCAGGAAAGTACACGATACAGTGGTTTTCTTTTCACCCTCTCACACACTGGTGCTCTTACAACTCTAACATGATACAGTGCATTGATGCATGACCTGAAATTATATTCTGATAAAATCAGTTAAAAGTGGATTAGGATGGGGGAGTGTTTAAGGCGCACACCATATAGCCATAATGTTCCTGATATGATACTGTGAGGACCTTTGTTACGTGACGTATTCCTCTCCCCCCTCTTGGTTCCTGTCTGTCTCAACAATCAGTCTTGCAGAAGAGAGATAATGTTAACAGTATAGTCCAGCTGATACCAGAGTTTCATATGAATTTTATATCAGCTAATAGTCTTTTTTTTTCATAAACTCAATGTAAACAAATATTTTTAGTTAAAGATGCCATAAGTTTTTATCTTTTAACAAGTATGGTTTACTGAGTGAATGTAGTTGACAGATTGTAATGAATAATGCAGTTACATAGTCGACGAAATAAGAGCTGGACTGAAAATCAACTCATCTCTCACCTTGTTTTTTTCTAAATTCAGCTGATTCACTTGGTAAAAGCACCGTTTGAATGGACATGTGCACTTTAGTATCCTGATTCAGATTGGCGGTTTAAATATTGAGTGTCCTAACGCGATTTGAACTGTAACCTGCCAGTCAATTAGAATATTTTTTATGGTGTTTATCAGTTCATTAGTTCAAACCTTTTTCCTGTTAGAAACATTTCATGAAACCAAGTAGTGCTGGAGCTGGCCTTTAGGAGATTTGATTACTGAGAGATTCACCTAAACTACTCGTGTGGAATATATTTAGAAACACTTTATCTCCTTCTTCTTTTTCTTGTTGTCTGATGAAGGCACACTGAGAACCACGGTACTGGAGTCAAACTCCTTGTGGGTTCAACATACCTGGCCAGTAAACCTGGTTCAGATTCTGATTTTGATTATACAGAAAAGCACATGTTTTATACTGTATTGTCCCTTTGCAAAAGAAAAAAAACTTAAATCATAATCCACTGTACAGTTAATAAGAGTCTGCTTCTTATTTTATTTTAGGTACATTCCTTTCTTTATCATTCTGTTCATCTACTTCACCGGCTGCTTCACCAAGGCTGAAGAACAGAAGAAGATTCCTGTAACTGGCTGGCTGCTAATGGGACCCAGCGCCCTCTACTATTGGTCGGTTGACTTCAATCGACATGACATCAGCGTTTTGTTGCAGGGAAAATAAAGTTTGTAGTCAGAGGAATATGAAAGTGTAAAGAAACAGTGTAATCTGATGATGGTCACATTTTTGAGATGCCTTTTTCGTCCAGTACATACAAGGTGCTTCTGTGATGATTTCAGTTTAGCTTTTGAAACCAGTGTTTCCAAATGGAGGTTCATATACACAGAAGCAGTAGCTAAACTCAGTGAATGTATGAAAAATGAATGAAGGATCATTTTGGCATGAAAAAATTAGACGTATACATTGTAAGCAGATAAAAAATAGTTTTTTATAAAGCACAAAAGTGTAATAAAATGTTTGTAAAAACAGCCTGGGGTGACTTACATAATGGCAAATAAGTTGACAAAATCTATTTAAGTTGCATAGTTTGAAAGGACAAGTTTAATGTTTGAGGAAGTTGTATTGTATAGTAAAGTTTCCAGTGACAATATAGAGCAGTGTGAAGTTGCAGTTGTAATGTGTGAATAACTGAAAGTTCATTTCTCTGTGAGTTTCTGAAATCTCCTGCTTTTTCTTTTAAGGTACTTGGTCACTGAAGGACAAATCACTGAGCTTTTCCTTCTCACCTTCCTTGCTATGGTTGCTGTGGTGATCCATCAACAGCGTAAAGGCCTCAGCCCCGACAGCAATGGCCTGTTCCTGTTCTGCAGTTTCAGTATTACGGTGCTCCTGGTGGCTATGTGGGTGGTCTTCCTATGGAATGACCCAGTGCTACGCAACAAGTACCCCGGACTCATTTATGTACCAGAACCCTGGTCCTACTACACTTTACATATCAGGAACCACTGACTTACATCCAGGTCTGTGTTCCTCTGTTTGAAGAAAAAGGATTTTTGAATGCCGCTTCCTTTTGTCTGAACTGACTGACTTAACGATGAAGGCTGTTGATGAGCACCGACCTCACTGTGAAACGCAAGGATCTGCTTTGTTCAGCCATACATTAAGATGGGAATTTGTCTGCTCTGTCTATTTCTGTATTGATATACACAAGTCTTTAACAGGTGCACGTTAGCAGGGATAACAGCCTTCTCACTGATCACATAGTAGCAACACGTTTGCTTCAACTAGCCTCAGAAAAAAAGCTAATGTTTGTGTAAGAATTGTTCTTCCTATTTGACTTAACCCCTTGTGTTAACCATATGAGACAGAGCATGTTTGTGATCATTACCTCCTAGTGTTTTTATCAGTCCTAATAGAAATGTATCTATTTTGTAACTGTAAAACCAGGGCAGGGATTAACACACTAAAGGCAGAAGTCCTCCTCCCACCCTTGGTTTGCTGACTGTCAGTTAGTTTGTGTTAATTTGATTAAACACATTTTTGATTTGAGAACATGCACCATGTCAACAAAAACATTACATTTTGTTACAGTTACTTTTTGAAACAGCGCTTGTACCGGTGCATATAACCAAACAATTTTGTAATTAGTCAAATTATCACAATGTAATTGCCACTCAACAACCTGGGGCCTTTGAGGCCCCTGTGGGTTTATGGCCACCGGGCTGCTGCCTGCTTTCTCATGACCAGCGAAGGGAATGACAAAGGTGAATATATGTCAGGTATATTCTCTGAAAAATGAGTAAAAGGTTTACCTTGAATCCAGTTGATGACAATTGATTTTTAACACCTTCGAAGAAAGAAGGTGTCGGGTCATTCGATAAATTGACTTCTGAAGAAAGAAAAGAAGAAGAAGACAACAGTTATTCCTGACTGATTAAAAACACTTTGTGCTGTATATCAGACTTACTGTCTAAACAAGTATGGGCTACCATTAGAAGATCAACAGCTTGAAAGTAGGAAAAACATTTTATATAGAAAAGAAGTAAAAACAATTCTGCATAGCCAAAAGATGAACAAAGACATGATGAGAGGATGTTAAAATAGTACCAATGTGTGATGGAAACATGGTCGAGCAGTATTATCTACATGGTTAGTCAGAAAGACGGCTATCAAAATATGTTTTGAAGCAGGATTTAAAAATGACTAATACTAAATGGAGTGTTTCAAAGCTATAATGTAAAAAAAAACTCAGGTATTTAAGGTTTCACGCCTTGATAGGTTTTGGTGAAGATGCCATTTTGTCGTTATATGGTCATATTGTGAACTAGTGTGTTTCCATATATGGTTAATACAACTTCCTATAATTACAGCCCAGCCCTACTGACATGAACGTTTTACACCATTTTTTACATGATGTAAGTCATGTACAATGTTAGTGTTCATCATGGAGCGAAATCTATTGTACAGATGGTTTAACATGATTCAAAAGGTCAACGCAAAGAGCAGGTGACTGTTAAGATACAAATCTAAACTTTATTGTTAACTGAAGTTGTTTTTTTTCTTTTTACATGTTAAGTGGATGTTACTGTTCTTAATTTAGAATAGTGATTTTTCTCATGTTTTCTACAGTTCTGTTCCTTTGCTGTTTTGTTACTGGTTCCTCATTGGTTTGATTTGATGTTTTTTTTTTCTTAATTAAATTGTTGAACATTGCAGGTTATTACTTAAATCTTTCCCCTAACTTACCTGACCCTGATTGTGCCTTATATCTGCTATCTGTACATATATAGCTAAAATAATTAAAAATCTTGCTATTTATATGGTAATAATCTACTAACATTTTATAATATAAAGCTGTGGTATTATATAGTGTGTGATTAATAATTGGGCCATTTCTTTTATTGGAGTGGTGGATACTAAAGGTCAGTGCAGCGCCGTGGATCTGGTATCTGTGTTTCCACAGCAACACATATTGAATTACCTCAAGGGTTTCAGGTGGTGGACTTTAAACAGGTGGAGGTGGCAGGTGACGCAGGCTACAGAGAACTCTGTCTTTCCTGGAAAGGAACAAAGCAACTGCACAAATGGTAAGAATGAGAAATGTCTTCCATTAAGCCTTTTCATGTACTTTCTTATATAAACAGTGATTCTTGTGTACTTACCTGCCAAGTGACGGCATACTGTTTCAATCTTGCAGGCTAAATTCTTCACACCGGTTCAAATCAACGGTAAGAGTATTTCACAGCACCACGTTGTTTTCCATCTGTTACTATTATTATTTTATGTTTGAAATGTCTGTCTTATTCATACACGCTGTAGAGTTATCTTTTTAATAACCTCACAGTGGAAAAGAAAGTCTGACCTGTGAATTAGTGTTGCTGTATTTCTATGTTAAGTTGCTACTGTATGATGGATAAACTATTTGAAATGTTCTTTATTAATAGAATGAAATCAACTGTACTGGTGTAGTACTTAATACTCTTTCTGTCTCCCTTGCAGAGTTCAAGGAGTGTTTCTCCTTGTATGACAAGAAGCAAAAGGGCAAGATTGATGCCAAAGATCTGGTTACAGTTATGCGCTGCCTGGGTGCAAGTCCCACATTTGGTGAAATTGACAGGCATCTAAAAGTTCACAAAATCGGTAAAGTACAACACACAACCTTGACTGAGGATCAGTCAAGACTGCAAACACTTGTTCAGGGTGACAGTGATTAAAGAAATTAAAAAAGGTCTTACAGTAAAGCTTTGGTGTTTTGAATAACATCCTTTTGTGGTTTTATACATCCCTGTACAGGCAAAGAGGTTGGAACTCTTCATGCAGGAGTGTTTAACTGTCTTTGAGCTTAGCGGTGCTGTAATTGTTTTTCTTAAATGCAGGCTACTGCAGTTTTTCCCTTATACTGGACATTGTTATGAGTTGATTATAAAATCTTGAACTGAAGGCAGTTATAAAGTGGAATACTGAAGAAGCCTTTTGCTTGTAAAAAAAAAAAGTTGGTTATTTGTATAGTGTAAAAACTAACCATTTTTTCCACAAGGCTTTATGATCTGTCCTATGAAATAAATATACAAAAACTCAAAATGGATGAAAGGGAGAAGAGCAACAACTGCTTCAACATGTTTACTTGTCTAATAGACAGTTCCAGTATGTTTATTTGGCAGCCTGGCATATGCCTAATTTTTGTGCTACATTCATGTTTAGAAAAGACAGGAGAGCTGGACTTTTCAACGTTCCTGACAATGATGCACAGACAGATGCAACAGGAAGACCCCAAGACAGAAATCCTGGAGGCCTTGAGGATGATAGACAAGCAGAAGAAAGGATACATCCAGGCATCCGAGCTTCGGGCCAAGCTCACCATGTTAGGAGAGAAACTGACGAACAAAGAAGGTAACACATATGACAGCTTTGTGTCTGAATTGTTTTTCTAGCAGCAACAAAACAAGAGGGAGATGCTCAGTTGCTGTGCTGACACTGTTCCACAGCATTCAAGGACACTGTGGATTCTGTGTTTCTCTGACATGCCGACTTTTTTAATGAGACAACACTGAAGTAATTCAGTATGTAGTCATTCGTACAGTAACTGGCCTCAAAGCATTGTAAAGATTTAATTCAAAGTGCTGTCAGTGCTTTGCCGCTGGATGGATGTTGTGCACATGAGGCAGTTCATATTTAAAGGAAGCCCAGCTGCTTCCTGGTGGGGAGACATCCATCAAGTTGTTAGATTCCCAAACTTCTGCAGCAGATAGTGATGCCAGGATGCTAACAGAGCAGACAATAGCACTTTAAAACTGCTCAGCCCCAAATGGTAGCAACTGTGGTAAAGACGATCTCACTGTTTCTGCTATAATACACCAATCTGAGTATGCAGGGGACTTGGTAGCTTGACTTTAAAAAGAATGAACAAAGACCAGCAGAAACTTGAATGCTGCAGTTTAGCCTGGAGTGCTGAGCTACCATGGAATACAAATGAGTTGTCAGGAAGGACTCTGTGCATGTCAAGTTCACTTATAAAGCAGTTTTCATCTTTATTTTCTTCTTTATCTAGTGGATGCGCTCTTCAAAGAGGCAAACATCAAGTCAGATGGGATTGTCAGATATGAGGAGTTCACCCAGATAGTGACGCTGCCACCTGTCGATTACTGATTTCTCAAGGAGAGAACTTCCAAAACGATAGCCATGGTGGAGAGCTGACTTTACATACACTGAGTTGCAGTTTGCAGAGATCACATACAGTACTGTGTTAAATCTACATGCTGAGACTGGCAGCTGGTGGTCATGTAATTAAATTAGAACCTCTGGTTGGCATGAACACATTGTAAAGCACTGCTGTTATGATGTTTGGCATGTTATTCTTTACTGGGATCAGACTTTAAAACCATTAAAACCCTGGTAAACCTCAAATGTGACCCTCCAATCCAAACAAACTGGTCTGAATTTAATGTCTAGTTGATCATTGACTGTACAGCTGAATGCTTTTTCTTCATATGCACATGTGATAAAAGCTGTGGAGTATGAACATACTGTCCTTTCCTGTTGAAATTATTTATTTTAAACAAGGTCCTGCATGTAGAGTTCCCAGACATTTGACTTTTGTGAATATTGCATTTATATTAGTGACTTGTAATTTGCATTCTTTTTCTTATGAATGCAAATAAAACATAAACACTGCCATAAAACATGTTTTCACAAATTTTATTTTACTGTAGTAGTATAAAGCACAGTATATAATACAGTATATAAATATATTTAATAACATCACAGATTAATAAATGATTAACATTTTCTACAAAATTTGTAAATGTATAGCCTATTAACAGTTCATGTAAATGAAGTTTACATTGAGATTTTAAGTAATTGATTGCATTGAAAGATGTATTTACAGCAACTACTGCAACATTATATCACTGGTATTTGAGGAGCATTATGCATACCAACTGTAGGCAGGTTGTCACAAAGAGTTGATGTTGTGCTTGGAAACCAACACATTCATCATATTATACACACACACACACACACACACACAACTACAGAAACAGTTTAATAAACTAAACTGAGAAAAAGAAAAATTACCATCTTGCAGTTTGAGGCTTGTATAAGACATGCAGTTAAACTTCAGTGTGGGAATGTTTGTAAATGATGTCAATGTATCAGTCAGTTACAGCTGTGACTGACCTTCGTTAAACCTCTGTCCTGACTGACCAGACGGTGAAACTTTTGAGTCTTCTAAATTAGTTCTTAACAGAATGGGTGTGCAAGTAGAACTTTTTTTTTTTTTTACCTAAAAAAAATAAACACATGAGAAAAACTAAGAAAAAGAAAGACTGTAAAGTTGATATTTTCATTCTAGCAGGAAAAGCACAGGTATAACCAACAACATCAGCGATGTTTGTGATACACTTAAGTGTACTTACTGTAGGTTCACCCATGCCTTTCATACCATGACATGTCTAAATGTGCCTACTCTGTTAAAACTGCAAAAATTAGCATGCTTGACTTAACTCCCCTGCTAGCACCGGTGAACGTGTATAACACTAGCTAACTACATTATTTGTTTCGTTCGTTTTGTTTCAGTCCTCATCCATGAAAAGTAGTATTTTGTCAACTGTATATGGATCTAGATGCTGAGGAGAGGATGCAGACTTTTTACAAGGCACCTTTAAGGTTCAGTGTAGCTTAGCTTCGTTTTTGACCAGCATTCGATATACATTACTCTGTGATTCAGTCACATAATGTTCCCTACCTAATGTTATCCTGTAATCCTTATCCAGTGGCTGAATCATACATTAAATCCACTGCACAGCCATACAAAAAGTGCTGGATTTAAATGATTTTGCCCTGGATATCTAGCTTATCTTTCAGAACCAACATCTGTGGGACCACAAACATAACCACTTCTGGAGAACAGGTAAAAATAAAAAAGTTTTGGCTTTCACACTAGGTTATGGAAAAAAACTATAAGTCACCAAATCACAAAGCATATGGGGTACTGAATTCACAGACAAAAAATATGCAGCCATGAAATTCATAGCAAAGACTCTCTGGCCAAACACATTAGTCAACATCCTCAATGCCTACACTCATGATATTTGTTATGTCAGCCATAAAATGCTATTAACTACTTCTGTCCGACAACAAGAGCCCATTGTTAGAAAAAAGGATTTTGATCTGTCACCGTTATCTCTGTACACTCATGTGCTGCATTGCATTTGACAGATATGGCACCAGTAACCAAGGAGATGGAGGCTCATCAAAAAATAGCCCCTTGCACTTATATCTAATACATTTAGACAGTACATTTATAATTAACTTTTAATGTTTAATAAAAGCGTTAAGATACACATAAGAAGTACATCACAACTCTGCATTATCAAATAATGATCACTTATAACTTACTGCTTCGAACTGTGTAATGCACCTGAAATTTAACTTGGTTCCTGTGTTGTGTGTGTATACAGTTGCCTGAGAAAGTCTGAGATTATATTTCCTTCAATAAATACTTTAAAACTACAAACCCACAACTCCAAAGCCATATTCTTCCAGCAAAGAAATGTTTTTTTAGAATTGCAGCTATTCATGGGCCAGTCTATAGTCACCTTTATCACAACCTTTATATTTTACAAAAGCATAATATTGTTTTTCTCTTTTATCCAACATAGCAAAAGGCTTTTGTACAGATATGTCTTGTCCAAGATTAGAAATTTAACAGCATAAAGAAATAAATGAGCTCACAATGGCACTGCAGCTGCCTCGGCTGGACTGCATTAACAAGTCTGCTTTTCATTTCCATTTCCTGCTTAAAGGAGTGAATTGAAGCCTACATGTGTGCCAGAGCTAAAAATGAATCTGAGTGCCGGAACAAGCAGAAAAGATGAAAGAGTGAACTCCAATGAACCCAGATGGACTCATTACCAAAGATATTATTCCTGTTTATGTTTTTCAAACACATTCGTCAGCATCCTTAAAGCCTTTTCTTATGCACTGTAAAAAGTAAAAACATACTGCTGGAAAAAACAAACACTAAAGCATGAATCTGCCTTTGTGTGAGCTGAGCTAAACATTATTCTGAATGTAGGAACGAGCAGAAGAGATGTAAGAGTGAAGTCTCAGTAAGGGTGTAGTTCCTCTAAAGCAACTAAAAATCACAGTTGCTAAAGTAAAAAAATACTGTTACCTAATTCCTTAATACACTTCAGCGTTGTAGTCGAGTCACTAAACCTAGAGTCCGAGTCAAGTCTCAAGTCCCCAGTGTTTGAGTCAGTCACCGAAGAATAATCTGAGTGGAGTCTGAGTTGAGTCCATCAATCCATCCATCCATCCATTATCTACACCGCTCACCTTGAACAGGGTTGCGGCAGGGCTGGGGCCAATCCCAGCTGACAATGGGTCGAGTCCCCATTACCTAAGTCAGAGGGCCTTATCTTGCAACAAAGGCATGGTGTGCAGCGCGTCTGTGTTTCCTAATTTCCTACCTGCATAATGACCATTTCCATGACATGCATCACGTTGCCTTTTTACCAAGAAGCAGTTCATTGACTTCGTGCTGGCAGGTGTGTCCAGATGAAAACGGGGTGTGTCCAGGTAAATTTTCGATGCGTTGGTAATATGAGGGCACACAAAGTGACTGCACCACTGACCAGCAAAAACCAGGTCTGTGGTCAACAGCCATCATTGCTATTTAATGGGCGCTTTGACCGTGTTGTGATGCGTGCCTGTGTGCACAATGCTTGTATTCTGGGGATGCCAGAAAACAGGGACACTGTCGCTGCTATGTCCTCCTACACCGGCTTCACCTCAAGCAGCCTTGGAGGACTGGGGGCATCCTCATAAATGCATGCCTTCACCTCACACATGAACAGATCAATTTCCTTACTGACGACTGACCTGGCAAGTCTCCCAGTATGCTAGCAATGATTAGTGATCGTGCACCTTAAAGGGGCTGTGAGGTTAAACACTGAGGTATATATGTATTTATAATAAACACCATGCTGATTAGTGATCGTGCACCTTCATCTCACGCACGATCAGATCCATTTCCTCAGTGGCAAATCTTACTGACATCTGACAAGCCAAACATTAAAACTCACACGTCTCTTAAAGGGGCTGTGAGGTTAAACACTGATTGGATAATTGTACGTTATGTCCAAAACACACCCCTGCTTTAATGAGGAGATGAAGTACAGCCCTTTTGATATTTGCAAGGTCACTTGAACAATTTTTCCTTGTCATCAAATTACCATAATGAACATGGACACACCCAAACACCACAAGCCAAACATTAAAACTCACACGTCTCTTAAAGGGGCTGTGAGGTTAAACACTGATTGGATAATTGTACGTTATGTCCAAAACACACCCCTGCTTTAATGAGGAGATGAAGTACAGCCCTTTTGATATTTGCAAGGTCACTTGAACAATTTTTCCTTGTCATCAAATTACCATAATGAACATGGACACACCCAAACACCACTTGCACAAATACATCTTGATGAGATGCTGGGGATCCCCAAAATGGGTCCCAGAGTCATCAAGATCTACATTAAACAAAACTGACACAGCTCTCACCATTTTATATTCCAAACTTTCTAACAGTGTGTCCCATCACCATATTGCTCAGCAATTTGATACTTAAAAATGATTTACTGAAAGGCAGAGTGCACGCTTCAATGGAAGTGTGCTGATACAGCATAGTGAACATGTTTTAATATCAATATTATGGTCTATTACACACACACACATCTTCCAAGTCTGAATGTGGTCAGTGCTTTAGTCCAAGTCCAAGTCGAGTCATGAGTCCTTAAAATCTGGGCTCGAGTCAGACTCGAGTCTAAATCCAAGACTGGAGTACCAGAACATTGATACACATTACTAAACCTAATGTGATATGACACTAATGTTTCTCTCCATTCTAACAATTTCATAATCACTTCAGAAATGTGTATTCTGAAATGTTGAATCTGATTCATATTTCAATCATGGTTAATAAAAATAATGGCATCAGTTTATCCAATACTCAAGTACATGAAGGTACTGGGCCTGCCAATACCAGACGCAAAATGTTTGGAGCCTGTGTGGCCTGTAGCACCAAGTATTTACTGCATCTCCACTTTTCACATTTAAATTTTACTTTGTTACATAAAAACGTGCGGTAAAGCTAAAGTGTTACATTACACAACTGTTCAAAAATGCTTGCTGTGGACATTTAACCATTTGACCATTTGCTAAAACCCTCCCATGAACAGTGATAGTCCAATCATAGCTTAGTCAGCATCCTCAAAGCCTAACTTAAAAATACAAACATCAAAGCACGACTCTCACCAAACTATATTAGAATGAGAAAAAGACTCAGCATATCTTTTCAACACAGAAAACATACAATAACAAGAGTGTTTCTTTAGTTCCATATCTACTACAACCGGTGAGAATGCTCACTTTTTTCTGTTAAAACAGTCAACTCAAAACACTGAAAGGTTTGCCTGAGGTTTACGATGAGAGTTTCTAAACTGCATACGGAGCCAAAGTTAGGCTTGTTAGCTAGCTATAGCTGGTAAATTTGCCAGTGGTAGTTGTCACTGAAACACACGACAATATGTCACAAACTAGAAATGAGAAACCTGCTTTTGTCAACTTCTACTTTAAAGCAACAGTATGTAACTATTTAAAAACTGTATTTTTGTTGTAAATCTGCTCTAATACATGTCTTAATGTGGAGAGGTGCTGCCGAAGCCTCCTGAGACCTAAACTCATTGAACAGCACTGGCAGCAGTGCAGTGATATTATCTTCTAAATGTTTTTAGCGGGATTGACTTTTAACCAATCAAAGCTCTTCAATTATTTCTGCTTGATCAGTTGCTGCATTCTCATTTATTGTAATTTCATAATGACGATTAACTGAAGAGCTGGGCAGAGCCTGGTGGAGGGTAACAGATCATAGTAGAGCACAGTGGAGCAGGGAGAAGGAGAGCTGTTGTAAACTACATACAATATGTGCAAGATCAAAAACTTTGACGTGGGTAGGAACAAGAACTAAGGGGCTTAGTAAACAGTCAGTTATTTATAAATGTCACATGAAGCATCTATGCATCACTTATACCACATAATACTTAAACCCACACTATGAATTTTATACCCGTCTCCGTTGTTCTGTACAGTTTTTGCTGCTGTCCTTAAAATGAGAGCATTGTGCCAACCATGAAGGTTAATGAGCGGTTTATCTAGATGTGTGATAATGCATTATTAACCTGGCTACATTGATAGGAGACCCTTCTATACTACCCTTCTTTTTAACAGCTATGACACTACATAATATAAAAAAAAATATTTACATTCTCATTGTTTTGCTAAGAGGGAGGCAATGCTTTGTTGCATTTCCAATTCATTTCAACCCTGTACACTCATTTCACCAGTGCAAACATGCAGCGTTTTGGAGTATGTTCACAACTAATCTTTGAGCGGTGTGTGTATTGGTGATGAAATGAATATGTTCCTTTACTCATTGGTGTAATCATTGTTCCTTATGATGAGCCATGTGAGTGGCTACCTTGTTGCGCCTCAGCGGCTAGTCGTGATGCTAGGGCGGGAACGCTGGCTGCAGGTTTTGCAGCACTGTACTCGTACACTGGGCAAGTTGCAATGGCCAAGCATGTGGAGAGTCCGACAGAAACGAAACGTGAGCCGGTCATGAAGACAGACTGTTTCTGTGTGGGTGGCAGACAGAGACAGAGGTGACATACAGAGGTTAGATAAACTTCATTCAACTCATGCTGGTCAGCTGTTGATCATAACACAGTGAATCATAGGCACCATAGGACATGCCCCTTAAGGTGAACAGTGACAGATGTAAATAATAATCCATATACTGTGATAGACTAAAGAAGAAACAACCCATGCTTTTCTGATGGAATCTCAGTTCAGATGAGTATGTTAACAGGCGAAGGAAACAGCTGATGGTTTTAACAGATGATTTAAATATTTTAGGTCAGCTTTAAATCTCCAGAAAATTGGAGTGTTATGTGCTTTTCATTGCCAGTGACAGATACTCATTTTAGGAGAAAGACATTTTATTTCTCCATTTTCTCATGGAGAAGGCCTCAAAGTCCTTCAGATCAAGTTGAATGTTTACTCGTCAAGGCCTTCACATTCTGCATATAAAGTGCGACATTATGATTATTAGATCTGATTATTTAAATGGCTTTTGTAATGTAAATGATGAGCCCCAAAGCTGTGGCTGACTGCAGACAGCAGATGGCTAGTGTTGAAGGCAAGCTGTTGATTGTTTTAGAGGCAATATTAAAAATAAATCTAGAATCACTGCCTCATGGTTGTATGCCTCCACCCACCAACCAAGTTGCAGTTTACATGCATGGCTGTCCAGACTCATATAATATATCTAGTGAAGGCTTTCAAGGAATTTAATAAAAGTTATTATGTGTTGTTAATCTGAAAAATCCCTCAAGACATTTCTGAGGTATCACATTCATGAGAATGGGATGGACACGATGTCACTGTTATCTTGGTTGCACCATGGCTGCACCATTCATCCTGGCCTATACTGAACTCCTTAACCCACAACTGTAAAGCAATATTCAAAACTCCAGTTGTTCTGAATTTCCAGTGTGACCCAGATGGGAAAGTCCCCATGACATCAGTGGGGTACAAAGGTTACAGCTGCAGCTCTACACACAGTATTTTCTGTATGCGGCTCTTCTTCTCTACACCTCCCATTTGCTATTTTTGAATAACAAAAAAGGGGACATGGGACCAACTTTAGCCTTCTGGATTCAGTTTGCTGGGTTCTTCTTAAAGAATGGGATTTGAATAAAACTTTTTCACCTGCATATGCATGGTATTTCATATTATTTTGCATGAACATGAACACAAATTTCATGTAAGCTGTGTTTGTAAGGCTGTATTTTGCATGTGAACATGAACACAGATTTCATGTAAGCTGTGTTTGTAAGGCTGACCACACATGCTACTGTGAAAGCTCCAGTGAAAGAACATTCGCAAGCATCTGATTGCCTCAAAATACATTATTAACTCAGAGTCACCACACTAACACGGCCAAATATTTGTTGCCACATTAGTGTACGCTTCAGATATTTACGATAACACCTTTGTACCTCTCTGCCTTGAAAATGTCAGCAAAGCTGCCATTCAAACTGTGACGGGCTGCCCTGTGAGAAACAACATCAATTCATATCTGACATATAAAACAGAAATGCCACCGACCTGCTGAGGCCTACATCTGAAAACTGAATGAGAAAGTGCACCTGGTGTTTGTTTAATTACAGAAAGCACAAATATTAAAAGGGCTGCAAAAATGTTTTTGGATTATTGTCATTTCTCTTCTACTGTGACTCATTTCATAGGGGTGATGAAGTTACATAAGCTCCACTTTCAAACATCTTGTGGAGCAAAAATACACCTATAAAGAAAAACTGGAACATTTTCAAACCTTTTCTCATCATTTTCAAAGAAACATACACATCAAAGCCAAATACAAACCTCTACTATGAGTGAAAGGTTTTGGGATACAGTGTGACAGGGTTAGGGTTGTGCTCAATTAAAAGTTAAAAAAGGAGATGTCAAGCCATGAATCATGTGTTTCATGCAAAAGAATGACATAATTTACCATCTATAATCTATGTTTGTGAATAGTTGCTTTGATTGCAGATGTCTTCATCAACTCAGTGTGAAAATAAAGAAAAGAGCGTCAGCGTGTGGCTGCTTAACAAAGAAGATCTTTGAGGCTACTGTGGTCAGACTTTCCACTGGTCGTTAGAGCGCTGGTGGATTCCTAGTGACATCTATGCTGCTGTCAAGTAAGGAATGGTGCACTGCTTCATACAGCTTATGTTTTAAGACATGGATTAAGACAGACAGCATTTCATAAGTCGTACTGGTTCTTACACTTTCTGGATTTCTCCAATGAAGAAAACATGTTCATTCATCCATTCCCTGTAGATGTCAGTGGTGCAAAGTAACTAAGTACATTTACTCAAGTACAGTTTTGAGGTATCTGTACTTTACTTGTGTATTTTCATTTTGTGCTACTTCATACTTTCACTTCATTTTATAGGTAAATATTGTACTTTTTTTCTCCATTACATTTAACTTATAACTTTAGTTACTAGTTACTTTTCAGCACTAAATTAATGCAAAAATAACAGTATAATCATAAGACATTCTGGTGGAAAAGTCAAAATATACCCAGCACTACTTCAAATTATAAGCATATAAGCCCCATATTTACCAGCAGCAACATTAAATATGATGAACATGATAATGCACCAGTAATTATAATCCAGTGATATATATGAATGTGAAATATGCCATTCTGCATAACGAGTGCTTTTACTTTATGTTTTGATGCCAATACTTTTGTGTTTTTACTTAAGTAACATTTTGAAGGCAGAGCTTTTACCTGTAAAAGTATTATTACACTGTGGTATTGCTACTTTTACTTATAGTACATAAGGGATCTGAGTACTTCTTTCACCACTGGGAGCTGTTAAACTTCTTCAAGGTTGCTGAGGACTGGAGCCTATAACACCTACAAGCGATTTAGTGGCTGCAGTTCACATGATCTGCATGATTTAGGATTTTGGGAGAAGACCAGAGTAAATGTTGTAAGAAAATCCAAACCTTTTCTTGCTGTGGTGCAACAGCGTTAATAAAAGAGCTATGGTGTCACCCCTTATGTTTATGTCCACTATTGTTGTGCAGACCACACAGCACTCTAGAAACATTAGCTAAACAACTTAGTGAATATTTATTGTGTAAATGCAATAATATGAAAGTTGAGCCCTAGCTGCAGTGTGTGGAATAACAGTTGATAGTTGCTGCAATAACAAGAGTCACCCATCTGAGATTCACTGGTACCTCAGAGTATGTGGCTACAAGATGATGCCAGTATGTGGCTTAAGTAAAGCTGCAGCTGTTCTTTTGGCAGTCTGGACAGTGCATGGTGGAAAGCAGGAATTAGCAGTTTCAGTGCTGAGTGAGAGCCACTGCTGATGCTGACAGCAACAAAATATAAATGCCTCCAGATTCTCAACAGGAATCTGGACAATAGTTTTGAATTTAACATTTTTAACTGAACAATCGGTTTTGAGACACACTGTCACTGAGTGCTCCCTACAGACATGATAATTACATTCAATTGTAAAATGCTCACTTGTTACTCAATTTGGATTAATCATTCAGAATACAGTAAAACAACGCTAATAAGAGTGTATTCAAACAGTAGTGATGCTTGTTGATATCTTGATATATTCACCAGAGGGGCCGCTCTCACACTCCTCCATGTTACACCTCTGGGTGCTCTCAGGCTGTGGCTCATGGTCACACTGAGCTGGGTCAACTTCTTCTTCTGTTTCAGCTTTTGTGTTAATACATTTGATGAGACGGCGCTGCACTCCACCATCACAGGACACAGAACACTGCAGAGAGAGTTTTGAAAAAGGTTTTTAATGTTTAATGTATAATAATCTTATGCATTGAGTTCAACATGCAGTGACAGGTTTATTAAACTGCTGTTAGGTTTGCTTAT